AACAACTTGCATGAATTCGGCATCGTTTTCTATAGCTTTTAATGCGTCCGGGGTCAGTCGAATCTCAATGTCTACACTTCCTTCTTCTACACCAGGAAATATCGTCAATTTTCCGTCAAATTTGTTCGCAAATCCAGCTCTCACGGCCACGGGTTTTCCCCATCCAAAGTCATTTCCATACACGTTGAACCGTGGCGAGCTGCCAACTACAAATGTATTAGTCCTTGCACCCTTCATCAACAATCGAGGGCTTTTTATCCTATTTTCATAGTAATTCTTGGTTTCTTCAGGAGTTTGAGCAGCTATCATTTGATTCAGCTGCTGGGCAGCCCAACCGAGGCCATTTCTCAGTAACTCGTTTGGCGTCGCAGTGGCGGCACCTCCCTGAATAGCGTTCCCGAAATAACTTTCTGGCAATGGCGGACGGAGTCTATTTCTTGTTCCCACATATAATTTGAATGTAGTCTTTATGTTATCATCATTCGTATTACGGCAGCGTATCATGGATCTCCATACATGAGCTAGAAGTGCTAGTAGAGAAGATACACAACTGCATGTTTTTCCAATTTCATCATTGGCCTTGGATTTGACTTTAGCTATGTTTTCTTTACTAAAATTAAATACTCTTTCAAGCAGCGGAGGCTGACTTAAATCATTGAACACCTCTCTCTCGAGTGTAGGGATTTTAACAGGGCGATTAAGATGACCAGGAGCAAACCCACGAATTAGAGTGGGAAGTTTTGATGGATGATCATATCCCTGTGAGATTTCAGACCAAGAATTGAAGAAATGCCAAAATGAACTCCCATCAACTACACAGTGATTCATGGTGCAACCAATGAAATACCCATCTTCTAGCTCAGTTACTTGAACCCCAAGCAAAGGGTTGGCAGTTCCTTCACAGTCTAGAATCCCATTGAGTGGGAAAAAGGAATAGACAATCTCAGGCACGTATTTTTGCTTGAGAATATCATTCACAGTGAGGCCATGTACAATAGCATGAGTAAATTGGGCTCCAGCATTAGTACAATCAATGAAAAAGCACTGGGTTTCGTCCTCAAATTTCTCAATACCAAGGCGACCAGCAAGATGGGGAAAGAAATCTAGTGTGCGAGAAAGTGAGGTTTTAAGGTGATGGAGTAAATCTTTTTCTAGGTTTTCTGGTTTGCGGAAAAGAAGACCCTTTTGGTTGTAATCGAACAAAAGGAACAATAGATCCCACGGAGTTAACTCAATCCGAGTTCGTCCTACAACTGCAAATTCTGAAGCTCGAACTGTACACGTTGATATCTCTTCAAGTTTTGCCATATTTGTATTCTATTGGGTAAGTACTCCAATATGTATTTGAAATATCAAATGTGAACTGCCGAAGCAGAAACGGGAACGAATATATTTTTTCAAAGCTTTTGGCTTCTTTACCTCAATTATATGAAGAATATTGCGTAACATAAATAATATTAGTTTTTATTCTTAATTAATGTCACAAGCACCTTATGTGCATCTTCATGTTTTTTGTTTTTCTAAAGATTGGATTTCAATAAATCATCACGTCTAATATTCGATAGATTAAACGCACGTTTGAGAATTTTTTCTTTTTTCATTTTTCTTTTACCAATTTTGACCATTTTGAGATGACACCGTTCATGAGAGGATTGAGAAAATTGATAGTTGTTTGTTTTATTACACTGATTTTGGGTGATTAGTGTAATTTGGAGCTTAATCCATGTTTTTTGACCGTTCGTTAAATTTTATTTCAATCTTACCATATATAAAACAATTATTTAAAAATCACATTTTTTTTTTCAAAATTAACTTTTAAATGAAATATAATAATTAAAAATTTTATTTATAAGCAAAAAATTACTCATAAGATTAAATTTTAAATGTAAAAAATTATTTATAAGTACAAAATTAGCTTATAGCTTAAAATTTATTTATAATTATTTCTTATACCTTAAAATTTAATTATAAGTAAATATTTAAATTTTAAGCTAAATTAACTTATATGTAAAGAGTTACTTATAAATAAAATATCACTTATGAGTAAAAAAAATTCGTATGCGAAAATATAAATTTAAAATTTCACTAAGGGGGCATATACATAACTCTACTTAAAAAAATTAAAAATATTAGAGAATAAAATCTCAAGTATAGGTTGAACTATTTTAAATACTACAATTAAAAACCATTCAAAATTGGACCGTTCAAAAATGTTCAACACCGATACTTTAAAGATATCACATAGAGTGTGTTTGAAAATTACTTATACACAACTTCATTTACAAATAGGTAAAAATGAGTGCGAATAAAAGATTAATATTTGTGAATTTCTCAAAATATATAAATTAAAAGTTACTTGAGAATTTATAGGCATAAAGATCAGCCAAACATATGGACGCATATAAAATGGATGAACGTCATTCACGTGATAAGAGATTGAAGAAATGGAGAATCCAATCCATTATTATTTAATTATATTCTCTTTTCAAAAAGTTAAATTATTAGTTGTAATCAAACAAAATCTGGTATTAGCCGCTCATTTGGCTCTAAAATCTCCCCCGAAAAGCTTCTACTCGGTGACTCTAAATATACCGTCGACGGCACGCTCATCATTTTGCCCTAATGTTACTAAGTTGCTGTTCAATTGGTACCGATTAGCAGAGAGCTTAGGTGAAACACCGTCGAAATACTCAGTGTTTCAGTTCTGAGACGGTCAGGCACTTCTCGTTGATTCGTAATTGCTACCGCTTATCGTCTTTCACCACATCTACAGACAGCTTAGGTATATAAGTATGAAGTTCACGTTTCAATAAATGGGTTGAAATACCTTGTAGTGATATGAATTTCAAATCTGCAGATATGTGATTTTATCCAAAATAATTTGTTATATGATTTCCCAAATTTTACCTGTACAATGGAGATTATGTTTGGAGTACGAAAAATGAAACCTTGCAGTAGTCCCCCCATAGACAAAATTGTTTCTCTTTTAACGTGTCCTTCACTAGATAAGAACGGGACATTTTTGCCTGAGGAGGAGGGAGTGAAAGGCTCATTTACTCCTGTAATATGCATATTTAGCTTCCAACTTAAACTGGAATGTTCACGAGTCATTAGGTTACTTTCCAGTGAATGTTCATGTTTCCTGCAGACAGAGAGAGATTAGTGTTGACTGAGGGAGTCATTTGGTTACTTTCCAGTGAATGTTGCTTCCAACTTATTTGCTTCTGTGAATTCATTTCATGTGCTGACTTAGGGAGTCTGAGATTATCATTTTGTTTGGTGTTTGATCCCCAGGTTAAAATGAGAGGGAAGAATTATGGAGTATGCCATAGTTGTAGATTGAAGGGAAATTTTTTTGCGGAATGCCCGAATAAACGACCTTGCCCATGGTGTAAACATGCGTTTTTGAAGTGCTTCGAGGTGGAGAAGAACACTGAAAACAAGGGCAAACTGTTCGAAACGTGCAGCGTGAAATGTGGTTATTGGGAGTGGGTGAAAACGAAGGAAACGGGTGCTGAATCAAGTTTAGTCGCCAGCACTCCAGATCTGTCTTGCATGTCCGAAACACGATGCCGAATAACTGGTGATCAAGAAATGGAGATTGCTATGAACGTGACCATACGCAAACGAGGAGAGCATGTCACCAAATGGGAGAAGAATGGACAGTCTTCGGCCTGAGCTAAAGTTTATTCGTTTCTAATGAAATTGTAACTCAAATTATGTAAATGAAATATTGTGGGAGTATCCAAATTATCCTTGCCTCCACCAATATTACAAGATTCCTGTATGCACTAGCAATCTTGAATTATCTTCCATAATGACATGTTCCATTTCCTAGAAACTAATTTAACATACATCAGTTGTAAAGTTAAATATACTCGTCCAGAATGTGACAAAGAATGCTCCGTGGTCTAATGAGCTGTCAATTTCCATTGTGTTCTGTCATCAATTGGTTGCTCATGTTTTATTGTTTGGCCATTTACTTAAAAACTTGATGGCTTCTGTGCATTGTAGTTATGAATTTTATCTGCTCATGCAGCTGTTGTTCTTGTGGATTTGATTTAAACCTGAGTTCATCGAAGGCTTTGCTTATTACCATTGGTGCAACATTTTTCTTTTTGCACTCGTACTCTCGTTTTCAGGAAATTATTGCTCGTGATGCGCTAAGCCATTGATAGGTTAATAGCAGCTTTATGTAACTTGTTTCTGTTGAATTTTTAAATTGAATATAATACAACTACTATGACTTATATCTTATGTAGTAATTTATTGAGCTTTATGCTGGTAGCACTGAATTGGGAATGCAGCCATTGTTCTATATCTTTCTTTTATCTCGGATGGAGTAGTTATGTTGCAACGATTTGAGAACTTGTCTGCATAGTATGTTCTGGGCTTGCACTTTTAAAATATTGGTTACAGTTGCATCAGCATGGTACCGTCAGCTAGAGACAGGTTTTCTATCCTGCTATGTACACTCGTAGAGCGCTCGGGCATTAAGGACGGGGTGATGGTCAGAAGAACTCCAATAGGTGAGTCTTATTTGAAATGTCGAGTAAACCATGGTGGAATATTACCCGTTGATCAAGCCAACTATGGGTCGACATGTTTGCCTAGTTAGCTCGTTAGGTCCCAATTTTTGCCATGGGAGATATGGGTGCAAGTACAACACCAACAAATGCAGTAGAATGGTAAATCTTGAAATTGAAGCTAAAAAATGTCTGTCTTACATCAGAATGTAGGATAATCAAAGTATATTTTTTTCTAGTGCACAAAAGTTAAAACCGTGATCAATGTTTGATTAGAAGTACAAACACTATTTCATGTTCCTAGGACTTACAATTCCATAACCCAAACAAAGTGCAAGTGTCGGCTTCATTGGCAAGTTACAAGAGTACTTGTACACAGAAGCAGCATATACTGCACCAGCATATGGATCAATCGTAACATTTATGACAGTAGGACTTTCGTGTTGAAAAAGATTCAACAAGAGCCTCTTTTAGTTCATCTGGGGTTCCAGCAAGATAACCCTTTCTTCCAAAAGCTTCAAGGAGAACATGATATGCTGCACCAGGGACAAAAGAAGTAGGTGATGGGTCGTCCTTGTAAGGACCAGTTATTTCATCATGGTTCCTCCGTAGGTGCATCCGTGTTTCCTCCATCAAAATGCATTCCCAAACCTACATAATGAATATACATAATGAACAATTTTTGCAAAGTATTAATAAATATACATAATGAACAATGTTTATTAGACGGTCCAACTTATTCACCTTGCATATTTAATGTAGGAGTTGTTGCCAATGAAGGGTTTAGACACGTGGATTGCAAGTGATGTGTGAACTGAAGATTTTGGTTCCCACCCTGCGTGAAATAGCATTATCAGTAAATACTACATTATCATTGAAGTCAAATCATTAACAAATGCTAACCAAAAGGAGGTTCGTATAGGAGAACGGTAGCGGCATGTGTAGTTGTTGAGGCGACTGGAGAATGGGCACTGAAACCATTCCCATATCACTTCTAGGAACCTTCGTTTTCTTCCGTTTGGTAGAACCCGTACTTGCCTGCAAAACAAGGAATGTTCTTTGACATTATCCCTATACTGAGTTTGCAACAACCGAAAATATGCAACATTTGAGTATTACCTTAACTTTGCTCGAAATGGTTTCCAATGGGCTCTTCTTCCGAAGTTTCTTTGGGGCACCTTTTCTTTTCACACATTCTGGATCCCTTATGTTACCACTTCCAGTATCCTCTGGAGCTCCACATTGGAATGATATCTGAGTCGTATGCGGGGAGAGGACATTACTATTAGTATGATTTGTTTCCATCATCTCTTCACATTGACTGTCAATCCAATCAATTATGGCATCAGATTTCGCTTCATCTTCTGCTGTTAGATCGGCCAATGTTGCAAAGTGTTGACACATTTTGTCATACTTCAATTGCCCTGGCGTACTAATCAAACCATCATAGTTCACGGGTACCCTCGTGTGGGCCCTACTCACATCTCGTCGCCATCTCCGTAATATATATCTTTCGGGTATGGATTTCACATCATTACGGACCAATACTGCGATCATATGTCTGCAAATAATCCCTCGAAACTCAAAGTTGTGGCAACTGCAAGTGATTTCACATTTGTCTCTTTGAAATGAGAGAAAAAAACTTTTTTTCTTCGAATGCTCGTCATTTATTACATCCTCCCGTACCTCATACGTTGCCCCCAATAGTCCCTCAGAGACAGAAACAAGGTTGTAGTACATTTTACCCGTGAACTCCTCTTGAACTTCCTTAAATTTCGAAATTGTGTAAACTGCTTGAAATTGCTTCTCAATTCCATATCTTGATGCGCATGGTACCATTTGCGAGAACGACTTGAAGTCTGCTTGAAACTCCTTCTCAACCTTGTTTCTCAATGCTTGTTCGTATTGTTCAACAAATTGCTTCAACGTCGTCTTCGAATGTACATAACCATCAAAGAATGTATGCATACTCTCACTGCGTTGAGTAGTTGACATCCCTGCCCAGAATGTGATTTTTAAATAGCAAGGTACCCAACATTCTCTATTCTTGTACAAACCCGCCAACCACTCATTCTCATATAAGTGAAACCTTTCTACCATCACTCTCCAACCGTTTTCGAAATCTTCTACAAACTGACAATCGTAGACCAAACTGTGTATAGTAGCGAATATAGACCCCTTATCCGCATGGTATCCGAACTTCTCAGGCAACTTCTTCATTATGTGCCACAAACACCATCTATGCTTTGTATTGGGAAACACAATTTGGATTGCATTTTGCATAGCCCTATCCTGATCCGTAACTATCCCATATGGAGCCAGTCCATGCATGCATTGCAGCCAGGTTCGAAAAAGCCAGACAAATGTCTCTGTATCCTCATTCGAGACCAGACCACATCCAAGGAGTGTCGACTGTCCATGGTGGTTCACTCCAACAAAAGGAAAAAATGGCATATCATACTTATTCATGAGGTATGTAATGTCAAATGTGACAACATCACCGAACTCCTTATATGCTTGCCTACTCCTATAGTCTGCCCAAAAAACATTCTTTAGACGCAAATCATCATCCAGATCTATACTAAAGTAAAAGCCCACGCACTGTGCCTGCATTTTAGAGAAGTATGATTGTAGTGCTGATACGTCCCCTTATCCAAGTCTTAAACGCCTAACTTTCTCAACATAGTTACGACAATCCTTCTCGATGCAACTCAAATTCTCATACCCACTCGCTTCAACAACTGTAGAGTTGAAGCTCTTGTGTAATGGAATTCATGCCATGTCATTCACTTCGAGTCTTCGTTTAACATGTGCACTCAACTCTCGATTGCACCGATACAGCCTAGACTTCGAAGGGCTTGGCTTATGATTATGGTCTAGATATACCTTGTTAATATTCCATATTCCACAAACATCTTTGGATGCGCAGATCCTTACTTTACGTCCTCTCTGCATGGTTGCTTGCGGTTTCAAAAAACCGCTTGTATTTTTTATTCTTTTCCCTTCACGGCTACAACAAATATAACATTTCTCAATACTCCGTCATCATCCTTTATCGAATTTCGTTTCCTGACCGGGAAACCACTTTCGTATGCATATCTTTTGTACAAATCAAAAATTTCATTTTCATCCTTAAATTTCATACCCGACTCGGGCACAATCACACCATCTCCAACTAACGTATCATCACCCGCTACATTCATAATATCCACAACATCCTCATTATCGGACTCCACCGGTATAATTTCATCCACATAATTCGAAATTTCTTTCCCTTCATCAAACAAATTATTTAACATGTCAAATAATTTATGTAACTATAATTCAAATAGAAACTAGTCAGATCACGATGGACTACAATGCAAATAATCGTTTGAAGAAAAGTAGAAAATATAATATAATGGTTCAAATCTAAAAGAAAAGAAGCAAAAAATGAACGAAACTAAAATACAACAAGAGAACTATATAGAAATGTCCAGTGAGCTTAATGTATTCTTCAGCTCCAATTTGGACTTTTCTATATGCTCATCATTGGATCTCAGCAAGCTTAATGTATTCTTCAGCTCTAGTTTGGAAATTTCAGATAGATAACGCAGTTTATTCTCACGTCATCAATCCATGGGAAAATTAAAACATAAACAGAATTCAAAAGGCAAATTAAAACATAAACAGTCTACCTACTCATATCACAATGCAAGACCATCTATCAGTAACCAACTCAAAAAACTGTAAAGAGAGAAAATCAAATTGCAAATCCCCTAAATCCAAATGGTATGTATAGGAAACCAATACCTTTTTCGGTCTTCTCTCGGCTGAAAAATGTTAGGTTCGTCTACGTCTGGAGTCTTTTCCCACTGCCAGGCCCTTCTTCATTCAATGTAGTACACATAAACGACGCAATCAACAAGTTAGAATTTTGGATTTACACAATATGCGTAGTAAGTATCTAATTAACCTTAAATATTAGTCAAATACCTATTGATTAAGATTATTGAGGAATGACGAAATGGGTTTCTCTACAAGCCACTGTAATCTCTTCCAGCCACTGTAGTTCGATTTCTTTTCCAGCTAAAATAGGTATTTGTCATGCTCCATGTACAGAAGAGAAGGGATGCAGTTGGATCTGGTAACAAGATCGCGCCATTGCAACCGGCGGTCTGCAGATCGCGCCACAATGGGAGTTCCAAAGACCTACACACGGGTTTTGATTCGAAATGAAAATTACAAAAAGAAACGGGTTTTCACCAATGATACGGGTTTAACAACTGGGCTGGGTCGGGTTTAACAAGTGGGTCGGTTTTAAAATTTTCAAATTTCACAAGTTTTTCACCGGCGCCAGTTTTTTTCTCTCTGTTTAATTTTTTTTTTTTTCCATTTTCCACATCATTGTGTCAAGTTTTGTGTCAAACTATGTGGCTATCTAGCATAATTGATCGGTAATTTGGCTCATCAACCTAGACCGTCCACGGACTAGCTCATGTCATGGGCAATGAGCTGACCCTTAAAAAACACAACACAAGGAGATTTTTTTATCAAAAAAAAAAAACATGAATCAGCTTAGCTCAATCAGTTTCGACTCAATAGGGCCTGAACTGAAAGCTCGGGTCAAGCCTATATTTTTTGGTTGAGCAAAAGTTCAGCTCAATTCGAGCCAAAAAAGTCCGAACTATTTTTACTCAAGGACAGCCCGAGTTTCAAATTTTGACTCGCAAGCCAACTCATCTTCTTGATATCCCTAGTCTTTACATCCCAATATTCTTCTTAACATTTGATTTGTTATGCTTTATTGAAATAATAATAATAATAATTAACAAGAAATGAAATTTATTAGTAACACTACATAGCTAGACGATAAAAATCTTTGAGAGGATCAGAGGAGTTACAAGGAGTCCCTACAATCTTGGGGAGATAAAAAAGTGGAATTTCATATTCAGAGAATTAGAGAGGTAAGGGCACATATTCATATATTAATGGAGAGAAATTAAGTGATTAAGGAATTCAAGGTTTACTAGTTTAAATGAAATGATTGTCCTATAGTCTAGACGCAATAAATGTGATAGCATATCAGTGAGTATCAAATTCAATGAGCATGCAACAACAAAAAAATCAAAATAGCTTTAGTCAAGGGTACGGCTCCATTAAAATTAAATTTTGCAGACAAAATATATTTTGGAATAATGATTTTTTTGAAAGATATATGGTTAAAAAGAGAAAAGAAAATTTAAATTTACGTGTAATATTATTTAAATGACAAATGTGTGGATAAAAAGAGAGAGAGAAGTACATTTTCATTATAATGGAGCCCAAACAAGGGCTATATTTTGAAGTTTGAATTTTAAAGTTTTTTGTGCCAAGTAGTTTATCTGTTTTAGGGTGTTTTATCCAATTTAAAAAGAGATCTATGTAGTTTCCAGTGGTTATGTTCAAAGCGAAACAAAAAACCCAAAAAACAAAAAAAATGAAAAAATGAAAAAAAATCTTTAATATGACAATTTATTCATTAAAAAATATCATTTTCCCTTTTTTCTTCTTGGTGAGGAGGGATGTGCACCAGAGCAGCACTTACAGAGAGCATTGGCTCTTACAGAAAGCCAAGAGCTCGTTGGTCACCTTACCAATGAAGATGATCAAGCACCTCTCAAGTACAACACACCAAATTCCAACACTAACAAAGCTACAGAACGACAAACATTAATATTAACACAAGCAAAATTTTACTGCTTGGCGCAAGCCCAATGGCTTCCTCGAGGGTGGATAATGGGACATTCTCAAAAGAAGCCCTTAGACTTGTCATAGGTCTCATCGACACATCACACTAAGTTTGGGAAGCACTCAGGAATAGATATGCACAGGATTCTCAAGAAAGAGAATTTACACTCCAACGACATATCACTTATCTTTGTAAGGAAGAAGAATAAATTCTTTAGGAGCACATGCACTTTCAAAAGCTTATGCGAAATTAATATTAACACAAGCAAATTTTATTGCTTGGCACAAGTCCAATGGCTTCCTCGAGGGTGGATAATGGGACACTCTCAAAAGAAGCCCTTAGACTTGTCATAGGTCTCATCGACACATCACACTAAGTTTGGGAAGCACTCAGGAATAGATATGCACAGGATTCTCAAGAAAGAGAATTTACACTCCAACGACATATCACTTATCTTTGTAAGGAAGAAGAATAAATTCTTTAGGAGCACATGCACTTTCAAAAGCTTATGCGACAGCCTTGCAGCTATTGGGAAACTATTTTTATATAAGGAGAAAGTTTGTTATCTTTGTTGAAATGTTGTTCAACATTCAAGAAAAATGAAATGGGATAAATAAATATGAAGAAAAAACGAAAAAGGTATTAGAGGCAAAATCTTATTCTATGCAGCCGCATAGATTAATACTATGCAGTCGCATGGCCTATTGCAGGAAATTCTGGGACCTCTCTGGGTTGTTCTATGCTGTCGCATAGATTTATACTATGCAGTCGCATAGTTATACAAAATCGACTGATGGAGGTCGATTTCCTACTGTTGCAACTCCAAATTGTGGTGACTTTTCAACCTATTTTGGCACCAATTCGTGCACATTGGTGGTGCCCTATATATAGGTGATGCATCTCAAGCCAAAAACAAGTGAGAAACATTTGTGATCCATATTCATTCCAATATCAAATATGAAATTCTTGATTCACATTCATACTCTTTTCTTCCTTGTGTTCTTAAAGTTTTAGAGGATCGCACTTGTGCTTTAGTGCTAGATCCTTTACAAGGCTTGATATAATCCTACGAACCATTTGCCAAATCGTTAAGCATCTCAATCAATCCCGAGTGGAGGCAAATATAGTTTGAGGATAGCAATTCGGGCATGAAAAGTGTATTCAAGTCCGAAAAACTTGTATTATCCCTTAATGGAAAATTTGTTGGAAATGCTATTCTTGTGAAGGAATGATCAAATTATGTACCCTTGACAATGAATTGAATAAAACTGATTTTGCTAATGTTGTGGATTTATTTTCATTATAGCATGCTAGATTAGGTCATGTTGGAATAAGTACCATGAAACGCATGAAAAAATTGTGAATTGATCTCATAAAATGAAAATAATAAAAGTAAATGTAAGATATATGTATAATCTAAAATGATCAAAAGGTCTTATCATAGTGTGAAAAGGACTTCTAACATTTTAGAACTTATTCATACCGATATATGTGAAATGAATGGCATGTTAACTAGGGGTGGAAATAGGTATTTTATTACCTTTATTGATGACATTTCTAGATAAATGCATGTTTATTTGATAAAGCATAAAAGTAAAGCTTTTGATATGTTTAAAGCTACAAAAACGACGTTGAAATTTATCTAGGAAAGAAAATTAAAACCTCAATTTCCAACAATTTTAACTTGTTTTGTGAACAACATGAAATCATTCACCAATGTTTCACACCTCGGACCCCCAAACAAAATGGTTTAGCCGAAAGGAAAAATAAAACCTTAGTTGAAATGGTTAATGCCATGCTCATTCATGCTAAGTTGCAATTTAACTTGTGGGGTGAATCTTTATTAAGTGCATATAAGATTCCTTCGAAATATACTAAGGTTTCTCCTTATGAACCATGGAAAGGAAGAAAATCAAACATTGGATACTTCAAAGTGTGGGAATGTCTTACTTATTGCAAGAATACGAATCCGAATAGTACAAATTGGGTCCAAGAAACATTAAATGTGCCTTTGTGAGATATGCGAATAATAGCAAATCTTATAGATTGCTGAATTTGGAGTCTAAAGTGATTATTGAATCCAACGATGTAGAGTTCTTTAAGGATTTGTTATCTTCAAATAATGAATTAAGGGAAAATCTTGAATATGTCCCTAGCTCAAGTGGAACATGTGATGAAATATCTTTTAAAGATGTTGATGAATCTAGTGTACCACGAATAAGTAAGAGAACTCGGGTTGGGAAGT